GGTGGCCAAGTGCACCCAACAAAGTTGGACTTAACATCGAGTACCTCAGTAACATCGAGTGTTTCAAACTGACAGCCTAGATAGCTTTCGTGTTTTCCGATTTCCAACCTTGCAAATCATGCCTAAGCCTCAACAACTGTCTCTAAGTTTGACATGCTAATTAATCTCTGAACAAACATCACGGTTAATGTTGTTGTTAAGCCAGCAATAACATCCCTCAAATTTGGGTAAACATCAATTTCCGGACTGCATTGCATTTCGCAGCATTCTTGTTGCTTTCACGGCTCGAAAAAATTGACGGTGAAGTCACTGGCATTGTTTCGTTTTTAGTCTTTAAAAAAAAGTGAATAAAAACGGACATGATTGGTGGTGTAGTGGGTAGCTCGTCAATTCCAGATGTGAAGAGGAGTGGTTCGATTTCCTCCCGATCCACAACCATTTTCGAAAAGTGATCCCGTTCACGGCGCTAGCTTCCAGGGCTCTTATGCAGAAGGGATGCCTATCAGTAGAACTTAACTTACCCGATCTACTAGCATGGGTTTCTCAGCACTAATGAATACTACCACAGATAGTTTGGTACCACCAATTTCAATAACTTCGAACAAGTAAACTCATATTACCAAGACTCCTTGGACAAAATGCTGGAAGGATCTCACGTAAGTGGTACCAATGGAATGCTCATCCCCCATGCTGCACGATCCTTTGTTTCTGAGCTACACACGTTCAGTTAGCCCCAACGCCCGTTCGATGCGTACGAACCACGCTTTCGTAGGCTGCCCGTTTATTTCCTAGCCAGTACTACTCGCATACTAATAACTTTATATTAACGGGGGAAAATAAAAGGCGAGCAAGTAAAATATTTATTATTCGAAATTTGTTGAGAATTACACACAACGGTAATGAGTACTGAATAACAATTCTTTGAACCGTAACTCAATATGGCGATAAAAAGTGCATGAACAAAACGAGTCAAAAAAGCCATTCCGAAATTTGCTCTCAGTGAAAGGCGGAGGCACTCGAAAAGTAGCCCGAGTGGTAGCAAATTGCAGCAACGGTCATCCGCTGGCTCTCTCTTTCAAGGGTCGTTTATAAGCAAGCTGACAGTGGGTTCGACTTCCTGGCAAATGCCAGTACCAATTTATCATCGAAACAAATGAACGAATCGTAGAGGGGTTGGTTGTTCCAGAGAAAGCGTCAAACTTTCGACCAACTGCGCGGCAACAATTCTATTTCACAAGTCTGTCGGCATAAACAAAACGATCGGATAACAACACCACAGAAAAAACTTTAAAATTTTCCATTGCAGTGAGAACAGCACATAAATGAGGTAGTACTGTACCGAAAAGGCGGCAGGGCCATAAAAGTGAGCTGTTGCTTTCCTGTCGCAACAAGATGAGGGTGGAAGAAAGGAAAGTGCGACAATTCAGCCAATGAGGATCACAAATCCTGGCAATTCCAAGTGTGCGGCAAAGACGTCTGAGAGAAGTCGGAGTGGTCAAAATAGTGACTTGAAAAAAAACAACAGGGTCCTGATTGCGAGGGCAGCGCAGTCCACAAGGCCACTGCAATTAGTTGTCATTAAAATTTCACAGTAATCACTTCAGAAATTTGTTTTATCGTATCGTTGGACGGTTTGACAACATTTCTCACGCACGGCAACTTTTGGAGTTGCTTCTTGAATTCATACCGATAGTCCGCACTACAACGAGTATCAGAGCATTAAGAAAATAAACAGTGGGAATTAAAAACTTTTATTTTCACATAATTTTAATTATTTTCCCTTTAATTTATTGATGAATTCCATTCATAGACCTAACAAACTACGTCTTTATTATTTTTATTTAATTACACACTTGAGCAGTTTGATCAATTGTGGCTTCAACACAGCTCGTCCCTCTCGAGCCAATAACTCAAGTTGCATTATAAGTTGCATTATCATTACTACTATTGTTATTATTACCATTGTTGTCATTTATCATGCTATTGCTACCTCTGCCACTACCGCCATTCTATTGTTGTTGGGAGCCATAACCGTCCTAAACGTTACAACTTCTAATTACTTTTTGCTCTATGAAAACCGGACCTAAACACGTCACAACAGTAAGCGATTAGCAACAAATGTCGAAGCTAATAGACTACAAACCCTTGTAGCTCCAGACTCACCGAAAATACCTTGTGATACGTTTTATCTGGCTAAGTTTGGATGCTACAGACAATCTTGCTAGCTTTTCCCCCACTTCATTCACTTAAGTCTCAAACTATTCTACCAGTACCCCAAAAAAAATAACTGAATAAAATCACCTTCTAAAGTAATAGATAAACCAATTGCATGCGATGCTCACATTGACAAATATACCGGCGTAGGCAGCAGTATAAAACATTGCGAGATCCGAGATATCCGGGATGAATGTCATCAAATTTACGACCATTGTCATCAGCCACCCCAACCCAACGCATGCCGCAACGACGCGTAATGAACGCAATAATCTAGCATTACTTCCACCTGCAATTAAACCAGAAGCGATGACTGTAAAAATCAGTACGCTGTCGAATTTAAAAAAAAAAAAACAAAAGTCCTTCTATGCCTCTTCCCCAAAAGAAGCTGAGACACTTTGGAAATAGTCGAGTGAGGTAGTAAATACCAAGACCAACCACCGCTGGCAAGGTTGTCGACGGCTTCCTCTCTCGAGGGCTGCTTACAACCAAGTTGATGATGGGTATGACTTTTAGCAAATGCCGCTGTTAATTTATAATCGAAAAGAATGAACTTTTTTGACATATGATATTTTTGACTTATTTCCAAAAATGGTCATATTTTAATATTTACGTTCAATATACTTTGCATGTGCTACATTACAGTCAACTAATTTAAATGTCTGGATCGCCAGCATGCTGGCCACCAGGCGATGCAGCACTGGTCAAAGCAACTGGGGAATTTGCCGGTTAAATAGCTGGTGAGCAAGGCTATGAACTGTAGCTGGTGAGCAAGGCTATGAAAGGCTATGAACTGCAAGGCTATGAACTGTATCTGGTCAAAATAACAAAGTTATTAGCATTATTAGTGACAAAAATTCTCCTGCAATTAATTTCCAGCAGCTTTCTGTGTGAAATCAGCGCAGGCGGAAGTAGCCTGAGTAGCAGAGCTTTATCAACAAAAGCCATCCATTGTCTAGGCTAGCAGCTGCCACGGAGTCTGAAAATGGTCCTAGCGCTCTAGCACGCGCAAATATCACCACACAAAAAAAAACGTTTTTTTTTTTCACTGATTGATTCGAAACACCAGCCAAAAGCTAACTGTGGCGATACTGCCGCTATGCTTGGCAAACTAACAAAACTATTGTTCCTTCGTGTATATTATAAGTTTCGTTCTTCAATATTTCCAGTATGCTTCATTATTAGCAATAATCTATCCGTTAAACCTATTCCCTGAATCAAAATTTCAAAAGTCCCCTGCACATGCTTTCTCTCTTTCGAAGGTTGCTTACAAGCAAAGTGACGATGAACTCTTTAAATAACAGTTATAATTTTTCTTGGACTTAATAAGTAAATTAATGATCAGTATCAAATATTTATATTTACTACGGCTAGTTTTAAAAATCTTACTAATCCGTCCATCCTTCCGAATGACAATACCCAGTACTGTGTAGAGCGTTACGGTTGTTAAATTGATAAGGAATGCTGATAATGTCCAGATTTGATGTGCTAGTCCGCTATAAATGGCAACCACAACGCACTGAACTTGAGCGCTGAAAAGAAAATCTATCAGATAGGACACTAATTAAAACTATGGAAAATACTGCAAAATCTATATCTTTCCCAAATTTAGCTGCGTTCTGAGCCCTGAAACGATTTTATTCTTGTTTTGATGTCAGCAGATCTGAAATTGCGGATTTTATGCGTTTTTGTCAAGAAGTCGTCCGTGTGTTTGTGTTTTGAAGCGAGTAAATATTGTCACGCAATTTTAAATCAGAAAGGCTGAAAGGATAAAATTGTGAGGCCAATTGGGAGGCTAAAATTGTGAAGCTGAAT